AAGGGGCCTATGCACACTCAGGCTCTCTTTGGCTCCGCCAGTGATTCCAAGTCTCGGGGTTTGACACCAGTTGCATCAGTCCTGATTTTTTCCCTGCAATATATGGTCCTAATTACAATCCTATTAAATTATCAGCAGAGATCCATTTACAAACAAATCTTATATATCACATTTATACAAAATCTTGCTCATTTATCTCTCCACTTTTAATGGTTGAGATTTGTTCACTTTTTATCATATTTATTAATATGAATGTGGAAATACTTTAGCATGCATTCCTTCTCTACATTTTGCTTCAAGTTATTTAGTTTATGGTACTTATTGCTTATAATTGGCATGGCGCAGATATTGAGCAGATACTCTTAGCAGCACAGCGTCGGTGGTTATTGCCAGCTGAAATATGTGAAATTCTTCGGAATTATAAGAAAGTTGGCATTACCCCAGAACTCGTTAATAAGCCACCAAGTATTGTTCCCCCCAACTTTAATTAATTTTCATTAGGCATAATTCCTTTTGCTAGGCAATTATAATTCTTTTGATTGCGTCTACAGTTTGCATTGATATGAATTGAATCTAACTCTTGCTTTTGTGTGGCAATGCATATACTCTCGGCTTGTTTGGTTCGAGGAATGATTGTTCCTTGGTCAAACCAAGAAAAACCAAAGCAGGCAAAATTAAGAAACTTACTGATGGCGCACAGGGGCTCAAGCCCTTTAAGCAGTGTTATTTTAGTAGGAAGTTTAAGCATCAGTTTAGTACTTGGACTTATTTATTAACTTTAATAATTTCAGAAACTTTATTATTATTTTCGTATTTACTTTGGATTCAGGATCTGCACCCTATAAATATTCTAGTTACGATAATTTTTCCAACCCTAAATTCTCTACTTTTCGACCTCTGCATCTATTTCTCTTTGGTTCTACATCACTTACTCAACAAGTTAGAAATAAATAAGCCTTCAGATTTTTGTACTCATCCCTTAATTTAGTGTAAAATTATCAATATTAAGGCTCATCTATTCTATTCCTAACTTGTAAGTAAAGTTTCTAGTTTTGGTTTATTTTTATAGTTTAACCAAAAAATAACCATTCCACCTACCAAACATTACCTTAAGTTGATTAGAACTCCTCTAAAGTATACTTTCCTTCCATTGGTATTTTTGGACACCACATAACTCATTCAGATGTTTAGTAGTTAAAATTTTTCCATTTTCTTTGTTTCCATTGATCCTCCCATATATTCCATCTATATTCTTTCTGCTCAAAATGTTTTTGTTTTTACTTCTCTTCATTTTTCTCGTATGTGATGTTTTGGGAGATGAATTTTGCTTCTGAAATGATTTCTCAAGTTCCAAACAAGACCATGTACTACAGTTAAAATCAATTTCTAACAAGAACGTTCGTACTTTATTTAACTTATTAATTTCTTGTACTGAAATTAAAATCTATTTCTAAAAGGAATGTGCTTACTTTATTTAATTTATTAATTTCTTCTGAGCAATACTTCTCTTATTTTCTATTTAATGAGAAGACATTGGAAAAAATTGTCATTTGTTTGACCTCTAAAATTAAATAGCTTATTTGTTGCATGCCAAGAACT